AAATGGAATTCTGGTGTTACAGACTATCTCTGAACTTGGAAGCCTGACACTAAATATTGGGTTTTGATATGTTTTTGTGAAAACCTAGGAAGCAACTGTCTGCATGAAAAGATAACTTTGATTAAATGAACTGCTATAATGGCAACATTCTTACAGGCTGTTTTCATTTTCAGTGAAGAATGAGCCAAAGCTGCCAACATATCTGCTGACTGAAAACCCTAGCCACTCTATTACAGCAGATAAAAGATCCCTTTTAAAATTCTCATAGATCTTGTCACTTATGTGCCATTAAACATAAGAAAAGTATGTAATAAAAAACACATTAGTCTTTCACTTCTCTTTTGCAGACACTAAAAAAAATGAAGTTCAGTGGTTTAGTTCAAACTGGCCCTCCTTCCTAAGAATGTTTTTTAAAGGTTAATGCCCTGTGCATTTCAAAAAATAGTTCCCAGAAAGACATTTTATAAACCATGGTGAAAAAAACATATGAAACACGTCATAGCCCTCCTTTTGTGATATTTTGATATACCAGCTTTATTGCATATTCAAAAACCTCAACTTTCAGGAGACTTTTCCCTGTCTTGCAATTTCTGCCCTGCCATCCTACAGCTACCAAAGGGGTGCTGATGTGGGGAAGATAGAGGGCTGCACAAAAATGTAAGGTTTGACTGTTCCAGTATAGTAACTTTGATACAGTGAAACCACTCAGTATTGTTTTAACTTCTTGACAGCAGTAAAGAAAAACACATGCTGAGTTTATCCTCTGGTTAGTAAGATGCATTATGTAATATAGCATAGCCAGCAGATTTAGCTATGAATAAAATGAGCCTATTCCTTTCACAAATGTCAACGGTTAGTTTGGAAGTATACTGTAAATACAGCACTCACTCTCAGAGGGATGTCAGTTATAATTACTGTAACTACAAATATTAGCTAGCGGCTATCTACAATATTAGACCAAACATATTCAATACTTACCAAACAAAGAAACAAAGCCTCAGAGTAAAACTATTACTTTTCCTGCCTACCTCCTTGGTTGACAACTGTAGATACAAGAAAGTTTTGGATCCGTTTTTTCCTACATGAGTCTGCAAATCAGACTTTTCTACAGGGTGCCCTAAGGAATGTCAAGTCTTTACTCTTTTTTCCTAAGAAGACAGCAACCAGGAGGAAGGTGAATTAAGGTTTCCAAGGCCCTTCCTGGAAAGCAGAACAGGCCAGGCCTGAGTCCTGGAAAGTAGAATGAGGATGGACCTGAATTCCACTGTACCTGATGACTAATTCAAATAGTAGGAAAACCACAGTGGTCAGAAACATGGCTTAAAAACCCCCAAATCAAAACAAATCAGAAAAACATTCAGAATCTTCTTTTTAAAAATTTCATAAAACCGTAAGTTTATAAGGAGGGATCAACCCCAAATTCTTTTCAGTTCTAACAAAGTAAGACAGAACATGAAGATACACAAAAGCTATTGGAAACAGAGGGTATAATGGAAAAGCACATTTCCATGCACATCCGTGTTGTAGCTGGAAAGTCAAGTGACAAAATCAAAAACATGAAATGTTGTTTTACCAAACACTAGGAATTTGTTCCACAACTGTGGCCTTCAACATCTGTATCAGCTCCAGCTGGAAAGATACCAGTGAAACACGGTTTACAAGGCAGTACAGTCTTGTAGATTGCATCCTGTAACTTGTTTATTCTTGGTTCTGAGGCTTTACTTTCTCATCTCTCTCTCAGATTCAGGATGCTCTGACTATTAGAGCTCTAAAGACAAAACTTTTCGTCCTTGTGCAATTCCTGTCTAGAGAGACAACTTGGCTTTCTTTAAGAATGGGCTGGAGAACCATAAGAATTAGAGACAGTATGACAAGTCATAACTCTTACACCTATGCAATGCAACTGTTTCCACCCATCATTAAAATATTTCAAGTGAGAGAGTGTTGAACTGAAGAATTATATGTTGGATGGCACTGACATAGTGGCATAAGGGAAGAGACAAAAGTAAGTGGAAAATATCCAAATAGCTCTTTCTGATGAAATAGAAAACTTTAGAAGCCAGACAAAGTTGAAGGGACAGTGGCTGAAATACTGCATGAAAGACCATCCCTAACTGTACCATCATCTCACATAGTATTCACAGGCAGTAACTACAGAATTTTCTCAGCAGCTGATACCTCAAATGAAACACAAACATAATTGTAAAAAAAGCATTGCCTCCACATTAAAACACAATAGCCACCCACCTTCCTTTTCCAATTATATTGCCTTTACTTATGTCTACAAAATCTTAACGTAGAAGGAGTCTGAATTATGACACACCTTATAACTGCCTCATCGCTTGTCATTTGCTATGGTAAATGTGACAAGGAACCACAACAGAAAGGGTGTTCACCTACACTTAGGGCACTATGCTAGGAACAGATGTAAGTAGAGCCCTTATTTTCTATAAAGACAAAACTATTATAATGCAGGATACACAGAAGCAGTGCAAAGTTTCCACTGGAAAATTTAACTGGTACTTTGCCGATGTCGACTACTTCAGTCACGCCGGTAATGTTTCCAAATTATTCCTCCGACAGTGTCCTAATTTTTGAAGTCAAAATAATTAAAGAAATAATTTGTTGATAAAGAATACTCTTTCGAGAACAGTAGTAACATTTTCTTTTTCACCCTAGTCAAACACACACTTGTGAAGGTAAAAGTATAAAAATATATGAGAAAATGGAGTAATTTGTGTTCCATCCTCCTGAACAGCATATTTGCACACAATCTCTCAGACAGCTCTGGAAGTCACTAACATCCAAAGGGTGTACTGGCTCTGTTCCTTTGCAGCTGCAGGAGGCAAGATGTTCCTTCCACCTTGTATCACTGAATGGAAATCCCAGCCCATGAGACCAGGGGTCAGTGTGTTTCACCTCCCATGGAAAGAAGAACTGAGCACTAGAATTCCAAAGCTCAAGTAAGAGTGGCAAGATTTACTCTGATAACCTGTTCACATGAGTATCTGCATCACCAGAAAGTGAGTTTGGCTAGATTGTTTTCTCTCAAGTTATAGAATTGATTCCACTGTTCCCCAGAGAGCAAGAGTGACCCTGAAGCCTCAGTCACATACTTCATGACTTAAAGAGCACAGGAGTTCACTGGAATTCAAGCTTGCTTAGTAAGGCAGAGTAGCCCTCTTAAAAGAATACTACCACTACATATCTTCATTTTTAAAATGCTTTAAAACCCAAATATACACTTCACTTATAAAAAAACTCTACTCCCTATCAAACAAGACAGTGTTGTAGAAGACAATCCTTTGAACATTTCCAGATAACAGCTAAGTACTAATACATTCACTTTTTTCAATGCAGTCCTGTTAAGTAATAACCAGAGAGGCAGCTACAAACAAAAGAATTAGACCGATGTTTCAACATTGCAATGGAACAATCTTAAAAAAGCTGTTTCATTGAAAAGAAATGAACTTTCCACCTGCAGCTTTATGCATTTGGCAAACAGAACTTCACTTCTGCAATGTTATTTTAGAACAGAAAAAAAATGCATGCCAGAGTTAATCTTCCAGTGGATTAGAAGCTTTGTCTGAATTTCACAGTTAACATAAACTTAGAGCCCACTATTCTACAGTAGAGAGCAGAAAGTCCAATGAAACCATTTAAAAAAGACAAGGATTGGAAAAGTTCCCTCCCTCAATGTTGACAATACATACAAAATTAAACTCTGTTCAGTGTAGTCCTCTCTCCTATGAAAACCACTACAATTGTTTACTAAAAGGTCACTTTTTTGATAAAATTAAAGTCTTACAGTCTGCTTGACTTGAACTGCACACCTACCTTCCTCACAGAATACACATTGCCCCACTATAAACATTATGCAGAAAACTCCACATTGACTCCAGAAGAAGAGTTTACAAGAAAGCCACTTGCAAAAGGGTATCATCACAAGGGAAAAAAAAAAAAAAGACAGGAAAAAAAATGAAATCTTTGTCTCTTGAGGAGGGGTGGTGGGTGAAAAATCAACTCTACTCCCCAAAAGACTGTGAAAGAGAATCTCCTAGGAAGCTCCCAAAGTGCTTATTCTTTGATAAACATTATCCTAAGGAACTAAATCACAGCTTCCTATCTAAATGTCACTGGCTGCAGGAGAATGCAGATGTAAAATGCATTACAAAGCACGATGGACTCAGACAAGCACTTCCACAAAGTGAGAGCAATACGTACAGTACAGAAACAGTTGTGAAATTGCTGCTTCCATGCCAAGGGACTACAAAGTGATTTACAATCCAGATAGAAATATTCCTTTAATTTTATGCTATGACTGTTCTTCCTGCAGTAAGTAATAAAATACTAGTAAAATACCAATGTTACATGTGTCACGTTAGCAAGGAAGAGAAGAGATCGCTGCCAGCTTTGCAAATCTACTGTACTTCCAGCCTCCAGGAGAAAGGGGAAGTTAAACAAATATTCACACAGGTTTGGAGGGCTTTTTCTTCTTGTAGAAATTTTAATCAATCATATTTCTCTCCTTCAAAATGCATACAACCTGACCTACTGCAGTCAATTCCTACTGAATTGCTAAAGATGGATATAAAGGGAAAGCATACAAGTTCTTTCAAAGATCGAACTGAAATCTTCAACCAACAACACAGGGTGATTCTAAGTAACATTTTCTTTAAAATCTTAAGCAGCAGACCTGCACAATGCTGTCTACATAATTATAAAATCATTAAATACAGTAAATTTTTTTTGTTGTACTTCTCACTAGAGTCACAAGATACCATGAAAACTTTTCAGCTTATTTTATTCAAGAGCTTTAAAGTTGCTCTCTTGTACCTGGACTTTGCCATTTTGACTGACCTTTTTTCATCTCTTCCATTATCTTTAATCATTCCTAACATGTTGAAAGTGAATTTCCATAGCAAACACAAGCACTAAAAACCCAAAACCCCACAACAGAAAAACAAACAACCCCCCAGAAAGTTGTCATAGCTACTTGCCTCTTGGCAATTTCTGAGCATTTCCCAGGTTTAGTGCAATATATCCACAGAAAAGAAGACAGACAAATCTTGACATCATGGTCACAAACCCAAATTCGCACTGGGAATGATTCTGACAGGTATCACACAAAAATACTGCAGCTGCATTTAAGTGAACTGTTCTCTCTGTGACAAGAGGCAGCAACACTTTGACACAAGCTTAGTTTACACAGTGGGAGGAGACAGGATGACATCATTCACTCCCACTGCAAAAGGAGAATTAGCATTAAAAAAAAATAAAAATATTACCAGGCTCCCTCTACAAGAGTTTTCTGGGGTTTGTTACAAGGTTTTTTCAACCACTGAGGGGAAGAAATTGTCATTTTATTACTTACATTCCATGCAAATAAGACAAGAAATATCAAACTTTCTATTAATTGAAAACTGATCTTAGAGATGTTTTCACTGTTTTGTCCAAGAAAGCTGGATTTAAACTGCAAAAATAGCATTTGCAGTACTCAGAAAACTCTTTGCTATATTGAACTCAGTATTTTTGCAACATCAACATTTTGCTTAAGGTTAATTCAAGCTAGATATGGTATTCATCCAGGCAAAACAAATACTAGTTTAATTTGACATGACATTATAAACAGGTATGGTAAATATTTATTCAGCAAAAGAACTGGATTTGAAAAATCTGAATGTCATTTTTTCACTTGTAGTTGGTTTTGGCAATCTAAAAATAATTTAGAATTTCCCCTTCCATACATATCCAGTGAGTCAATGGACACAATGCACATTGAAAATAATAAGACTATGCATCTCCTTCCAGGGGTTAGATCCTTTCAACAGTAACATAACGTTAAATGAAAAAGAAATTCCATTTTTCTATTAAAAGTTGTTTCATTCCATGCTTATAATAAGCCAACTAAGCATAGCATTTGTTCCCACTCACAAGTGAGAAGATGAGAAGGAAAGGGTGAAGCAGAAAAAAAAAGGGTTACAACTGAGTAGGGAAGAATTTAGTCTCAATATCTGGAAAACTTCCCAAAGAGATTAAATCTATTCAAGGAAGTAGTGATATCTCTCTCTCCTTAAAAAAAAACCACCCAAAAACCAAACAAGAAAAACCCAAAACACACAAAGAAAAGCCCTCCCCCAAAATAAAATTAAAAAACCTCTAACCAAAAACAAAATAAAAAACCCACCAATCAACAACCAAAATCAAACATACCTAGAACTTTACAGTATGCTTGGTCTGTTCTCCCTCCCCACTTGTCTGGACCTGACGTCGTTCTACTTTCATAGTGTTCTATAAACAGTGTAAATCACAGCATTGATACCTGGGCTGGGTAGAAACAAAGTAGTTTAAAAGAAAAAGCTAATATATTAAAGCATGCAGGAGCATTTCTTAAAAAACAGATTAATCCTGTATTTAAAAAGACCCCATGTATGCCATAATTGAAGAAGAACTTCACAGCAGAAGCCAACAGTAACTGTCTTAGAGGCAAATCCGAGGAATTTCAAGCTCTTCTAATCAATACAGACAGCACACAGTTATAACAAAAACAGTTTGACAATGGAAATGTGTCCCAGCCTCATTAGACCCTCTCAATTCTGACATAAGGAAACCTTTTTTTTTTTATTCACTAGCTAAAATCTGAGAATAACAAAGTGAAAGTCAGTGTTATAGACAGACCCAGAAAGTCCCCAAACACTATTACTCAAGGATCTTTGGGAGGATTCAGATCCTGAATGTGAACACTCCGAACAGGTAAATGAAAGAGGTACCACTTAGATGACATGAAAAGATGTCTGAAAGCCATACAGTTGGACAGGAGTCTTCCAAAACACCACACCAAAAGAGCTTCAAATGACAGAAAAATTAATATGGAGAGAAGAAGTTCCATTTTTCTTTTTTTTTCAGTTGAAATACTATTTTCTAAAAAAAACCCAGAAGTCATATTCTATTTTTTCTCTTCAAAATCAAAAATAAGAAATCAAACATTTGATGGAGTAGTCTCTCAGGAGAAGTAATGGGAAAAATTCCTCCTTGGTCACACAGAGCTGTCTTTTGTACTAGCGTAAGCTGGACTCTCCTGGTTTCTCTTATGGCAAATTCACTTTCCTTTAAAGATCACACAACACCTTTCAACAAAACACACAAAGGCCAACTTCTATTCACAAAAATCTCAATGAAACATGAGTCATTTGGCTACCTAACAACCTCTCTCATAGATAAATATACTCCTGTCCCTGCTTTCACAACCACTTGCTTCTCTGCTCCTGTGCGTTATCTGACCATGTCTTCTCCGCTTAAGTACTCCATATAGACATTTAACCTTCCCCTTGAAACCTTGTCAGACCATCCACATCCCTTTCTCTCTGATAATTCTTGTAGAACATAGCTCTTCTCAGCCCAAAGTTCAAAAACCCATGTCAAGATAAATTTCCATCTGTCTTATCAAGGACATGCTTCATCAGGGACAATTACGATTTGATAAGCAGATGTAAGTGTAACTTTCAGTTAAATATACGCCAATAGTCCAAAAATCATTAACATAATATTCTCCTACACTTTTTCAATATACTCCCTGCATCTGTATCATCCATAGAAGATCCACAGATGATCAGTGATTTTGTCCACTTCTTTTCTTATGAGACTAACCTTTCCTAGGAAACCTCTGTTACATGGGAAATGAAAAAACACATCAGCCTCTGCTTTCCTTTTTCCTAAATCCTCTTGCCATTCAATAGATGTTGACTACTGCTGTGCAAACCAAAACATGGAAACAGAAGGAAGCTCCTGGAACTTCGAACACTATCCTGCACTACTGAATGCATCCATAATGCCGTTCAAGTACCCAATTTCTCCTCTTATTGGAGGGCTGGTTGACAATCTCTAAACAGAGACAGAATTTCATTTCAGTTCACAAAAGTTATCTATACCAGTATGTTCCTCAGGTTTCTCTAACCCACACAAACCTGGAACTGCATTCCCCATCCTTTGGCCTCTCAGAAGGAAACTATTAAACAAAGATTCAGTTAATGACAGTTTTGTGCTATCCCTTTAGCACAGAAGGCAAAAAGAATGAGCCAAATGCAGTAATGAAAATCTCAAGCAGATCATATTTGTTCAGGAAAAGACAAAACACCTGATTCCCCAGTGACTCCTCCTCTTCAGCACCAAATTAAAGGTTAGGTAACAAAGTTAAGTACTCAAAAACTTTACTTGCTTACCTCAACTTCAACTGATTCTCTCTAGGGTAGATTTCAAAAATGGAGATTCCAACCAGATAGTATCACAGTTAGTCTGGGAGCAGAACAGAGCTTTTCTAGTTCTATTTTAATAGCTCCCAGACCAGAAAGTACAGTGAAAGCAAGAGCAGGGGAAGAAAAAGTTGGGGGGAGGGAGAGAGGAAGAGCAGGAGACGGGATTTTGCATTTTATTTCCAAATATGAGTACGTTTTTCTTGAGATTTGGGCTCAGTCCCTATTCACCTATCACTCCTGATTATTTTCACAAGCAAAAGCCAAGGTGACTCAACTCCTTGCTGTTCTAATTTAAAGCAGAGTTTGCAAAGCATAACCTTAAAAAACAAAATCCTATCTTCACTTTGAAAAGCACAATAACATTGTGTGGAGCTCTCCAAGAGTAAGGACTTACTTGCAGTTCACTTGGTCTGGTTTTTTTTCACAGCATTGCTGGTTGATGCTATACATTTCACCAGTGCTTGTCAAATACTTGAGAAGTGTCTTTGTCAGAAAATTTGCTATATAAATGTTAATTATAATTTTCATTCTCTTGTGTGTGACTAAATTATTGGACTCTTTTTCTTGTAAATGTCATGGGAACTCCTCTAAAGGCCTTCAGGAAAAAAGAGATGCCAAAGAACATTCTTTCAGATATGTTGCTTAAAAAAAAGAAAAAGAAGGAAAAAGAAAATCCTAAGTCTACTTTCTGAAAGTCTTTACTGATACCTGAATCTCATTTTGATAAGCAAACATTTGAACGCTCATGCTATCAAAAATACAGGGTCACGTGTTAATCTATTATTCAAAGGTAAGATATATTCATTTAATAGCATAAAATCTACAAGTTCAGGGCATTCTAGCATCCCTATCCCAAACTGAGTTCCACATCTCCAAATTAATGGGATCAGAGGCAAAGTAAAAGGAATAAATTCAGTGAAAAGGGATGGACAGAACAGCTGGTTCTTGTGACATTTTTTGCATAGTTTATCAAACTGTTTCAGCACTCAACCATTTGATATTGTAATTTCTAGCAGTGACTCATCTTTATTAACAGGCATTGTATTTCACCAAAGTTCTACATGACATGGAGTGAAGTAAGAAAAGCATTTATTTAACTTCTCTATTAATTATTGACTTATTGTTCCCTTTGCAATGAAAATAACCTAGTACACTCACTTCTGCAGTTTCGACAACATTATCATGACCTGCCATATGGAGAACCTATGTGATTTAAGGTTTTCAACTCTGCCGCTCCTGCCCAATCTCAAGATTTTTTATGATGTTATTTGGGGCTTATTTTGCCTTTTAAAATTTCTTAACAGTCAGGTTTTGAATGACTCCAGAGAAGGACTCTGCTCAGTCTGCATAGGCTCCTGCTGCCTGTCTATCCTCATGGGGAAAAAATTTTTTCTCTTATAAGTCTAAACCTCCCTTATTTCAACTTGTGCTGATTTTCTCTCATGCTCCCACCATGCAGCAGTGTGAGGAGCCTAGCTCCATCTTTTTGGCAACCTCCTGAGAAGCACTGTAAGGGCTGCTGTTAGGTTCCCTCAAGCTGTCAGGTTCTCTTCTCCTGACTGAACAAGTCGCATTCCCTCAGCCTGTGCTCCAAACCCTGACCATATTGCTTGACCTTCACTAGACTTGATCCAGTTTATTGAAATCTGTCCTGTATTTGTGGGTGGGGTGAGAGATCAACACTGGATGGTATCTAGATAGGTGGTGAATAGTGAGGGGCAATTACTTGCCTCAGTCTCCTAGGCTGCATTCCTGTTCATACAGCCCAGGACTCTGTTGACCTGCCTTGTTGCCAGGACTCACTGCTGGCTTCTGTGCAGCTTTCTGTCCACCAAGATCCCCAGTTCCTTTTCATCAGGGCTGCTTCCCAACCAGTCAGTCCCCAGCCTGTATCATTGCAAGGGTTACTCTCATCCAGATA